GGTGGATTGGACGCCCTGTATAAAGAAATTTTTGGCATTTGTTTATGGTTTATGTTAAATATTATAGGACTATAGTATCATAAGAAGAATGAAATTTGTTTTAAACAATTTCTTATCATCAGAGCAGTGTCTTATTGTGCCACCCTTCTTTACGTGTCGTGTGGTATATCATTATAAACTATTTCGATCATGATAAAGCCTTAAACGTAAGACGAAACGTCGGTTTGATTATTACTTAGTAAAAAACTTTTTTTCCCTTAAGTTATTTAATGTCAGGGGATGATTCACCATTCACCTACCTCAGCATGATAAGCTAATTTTGAACTTTGTTAACAATTTAAATTCCTTTTGGACATTTAACATGGTGCATGCCCATGCTATTGATAAAATAAAGATCGTCCTCTTTCGGCGTTCCTTTTAAGAATGTCCTTGAGGATATTTTACGTTTCTGCCTGAATACATGTGCATGACATCTGAGTGTCTTCAGATATTATTAATAGACCGACAGACGATTTGTGCAGATGTTCGAGTGTTAATTTTCATCCTGTTTCAGTATCTACACGATAATATACTCTACTGTATATGTAGAACAAACAGAATAGTTCAAAACCCCAACGCCAAAACACGACACTGTAGTTGTCCGAAGCACTTTTCGGTAACAAAGTTACCTTCTTCAGGGACTGAAGTAAACTAGTTTAGTTCAGTCCCTGAAGAAGGTAACTTTGTTACCGAAAAGTGCTTCGGACAACTACAGTGTCGTGTTTTGGCGTTGGGGTTTTGAACTATTCTGTTTGTTCTACAACAACCGCCAAAGTTTTTCCAATCTTCATATTACTGTATATGTAGCATACAATATTTAAGGACACCGGCGTTGGTTGTTTGTGAGGTATTCCTGAAATCTCCTAACGTAAAAGTCATATAAAAAAATAAAATAGAACGTGCATTTCTCGCAAAAATCACTGGACAGGTTGGGTTGAGTTGGGTTAGGTTACGGTAAGAAAAGACGATACGTTGTTATTGCCCGTTAAGGACAAATAAGATTTAATTTATGCCTTACAATAGGATGTTCGACATGGTTATAGAAGTTTTACAAGTGAATTTTTTTGGTTTGTGTGTGTGTTCCCCTTAAGGCCTTATCACTACGATGTTGTAATTATCAACATAAAATACTCAATCAAAGCATATTTTTGACAAAAAAAACGGACAGACAGACAAACGAGTGATCCTATACGTACGGAACCCTAACCTGAGAACCAAATTTGAATACGTACAATATTGTTTTGTTGAAAGATTTACCACGTTATATTCAGACCATAGAATTCTTATTAATTTTATTGTAATCTATAAGTAAAGAACTGTTTTCTATATTTTTTTCAAAATTTTAAGTTCAGTAGTTTCGGAGATACGGAGGGCGAATGGTCAATTTTCATCTATTTTTTTAAATAACTTTAAAACTGTTTATTTATAATTAGAAAAAAATATATTTGACACCTTTACAACAAGCCGCAATTCTTCTAATATGTCACATGATACAGTTTGCAAAACTTTTTTTTAATTTCCTATTGACCTAACAAAAATGACCCCCCCCGTTCAAAATTAATTTATTTACGTTATGCGTCCATGTTTGGGTCACAGAAATGTATATATGAACTAAATTAATACAGTAGAATCGGAGAAAATTGACTGCGACAGACGGACAGACAGACACACGAGCGATCTTATAAGAACCCTAAAAACTAGGACAATAAAGTTTATTTCTGTAGATACCCCACTGATTAAAGTTTGTCTTACACATAAAAATTCCGTAGATTTTGTACAAAATTACATAAAAATCCCCTTTTCTTTAAGCTGCCTTCGATTTCTCTAGGTCTAGGGAAATTTCCTCAGGCCTGGCAGCACGTTTTAAGACCTTCTGTATAAGGTGTATCCTGTGTCTTGTACAAGGATATAAATAAGTGTTTAAAATTCATTCTACGTGAACAGTTCAATATACGCATGCATACTCCTTGGAAGGTTTTCCTTTTATCTTTTTGTTTTTTATTTGTAGTCAAATGACAGGCCAAAGCAAAGCAATGACACCGTTCCCAAGAATTTGTATGCACAGTCGATTCGTAAAATGCGCAAACAAAATTTAAGAAACATTTTTTCGAATAAGAAACACATTTATGTGGTAGAAAACATTGAATAAAATCAAATACTTATACAGATTAGTGACGAACGCGTATCTTCGACATAAAGAAAACTTCCTGTATGAAATGGAAGAATGTCCATGCGATCAAAGGAGTAGATTATTTAATTACCAATTAATTATTTCGTTGGACTTCCTGTTACTTACCTGTTAGTGTTGTAAATTTCAAAAAATAACTACTCTGTTTTTATTTGATGATTGACTATTCTGGGAGATAATTTCAAAAATATTTTGACATATGAGATTAAATAATGAGTCACTAACTAACACTGTACCCTACGTTAATATAAATACCACCAAGAAGAGACCATCTTGTTTTCTTTTAATAACTTTTAATATTTAATAAATTTTATGATCTTTTAAGTGGGTTACTAAATCATGCATAATTAATTAATTATTTTAACAACAAAAATACTACATTTTGAAGAACTTACAGTATAGTCTTTATGAACATGTTTAAAAGTCAATTGTCGTTAACTTAGCGCCTATCATAAATTTTAATAAACAATCGTTTTGTTTTAACTTAATGATTTCTACTAAGTAGGTAGGTACATTCTTGATTTCTATGCAGTCGAATGCCTAACGATAAAACGTACATTTATTTACTCTTTAAAGACTAGAAGTAGGTAAACAATTGGAAAAAAATGGACGGGTCTAAATATCTGTGCTCGAGTATATAGTTGATTGCATATACATGTATCAAAACTTGAATGGGCTCAGCTAGTAGTAAACAATAGTAAAATACGATGGGTCTTCATGGTAAGGTACAATTAACTTGTAACGAAGGCTGTAACACAATAACAATAATGATTTTGTACATCCTACAGTATAAACATGCACAATTGTTAATTGCATACCTTTACTTTTAAACACTGGGAGTGTTATTAAATACCAGTTAATGACAAAAGTACCTCTATTCATTGTTCGGATGCAGTTCTTCGTAATGTTGTTGTTGTTGTTAAATGTTGAATACATATTGTGTCAAATATTAAAGCTAATAAATAAAGCTGAAAGGAACAAGAACTTTAATCACATACGGTCAAAACAAAGAAGAAGTTCCCATACGTATGATTAAGTTCATCCCTTCATGATTTGTAAAGTATTATTATTGTTTGTTAACGACATTCTCTTTGAAAAATGTTTATTTACTTAGATATATATCTTATGTAATTCTGTTTGAAGTTATGGGCAGTTTATCGTCATCCGTTGATATTTACTGCTAATTACAGTTTAACTTACTACGAACAGATTTACTTCATCATCATGATAAGGTCGTAAGTCCTAAAACTGGTCATCTCAATTTTTTCCTAGCCCAAGATAATCTTCGCATTTCCCTAAAACTGGAACATCCCACATTCTTAACTGTTTTTGAACAGTAATCTAATCTGGGTCTACTTCTACTCCTCTTAACTCCTGTTTCTGCTTCTAATATGTCTCTAACTAGCCCGTCACACCTGAGAAGATGTCCTATCAACATATCTCTACAGAACGGTTGCTTTTCCTAGACTATTGTAAATTTTTATTAGGACAAAAAATGTCGTATCTCGCGGAACCCCTGTGACCCTTCCATGGAACACCAGGGTTCCGCGGAACACATTTAGGAACCTCTGCCGTAGTGACTTCCGTTCTCCTATTCTTTCTAATACCTCATCATTTCTAACCCTCTCTATCCACGGCTATAACACCTCATTTCGAACGCTTCTAACCTTTCTTTTCCGCCGCGCCCATCATCTATGTTTCGCACCCGTACAAAACCATGCTTCAGACATTCACCTTTAACAATCTTTTTCGGATTTCTAAATTAACCGTTCGCCAGCATAGAAGTGACTTCTTTTAGTTGAAGGAGACTCGACCCTGCGCTATCCTTTGTTTAATTTCTCTACAGCTCCTTCCATCCTGACCTATCCTAGATATCGAAAACAAGTTTTCTTGTACAATTTATTTACGACTTATCATTATGACTTCTTAATTCGAATTTTCATTTATTCATAAAAGTTAAAGCTTTGGTACATAAATAGGATATTGTTTTGACTTTGGGTGAGTCAATTTTTTGACAAATGTTATGGATCGCAATGTGTTATAATGATCCTTACGAATGGGGGTAGTTCTAGTATGTACAATGGTACTATTTTTTACAATTCGATTCGTTTTCCAATGAATTTTGAGCTGTTACAAGCAATAAATCTTTGGGTCCTCGATGGACTCGACAAAAGATACGAGGGTGGATTGATAAGTTTCCGGCCTAACCAAGAGATGACGCCACTAGGCCTACCTTGAGGTGACATTCTATAGCTTGCATTCTTGGATAGCTTGTAGCTATAGTTTCAGCCCGATCTCCTTGCTAGTGTAGGTTTGACAGCACGCTGAACAAGACGCCTCTGTGGTTTTCGTAAAATGGAAAAGCAGGAAAATCGTGCTGTCCATCAAATACTTTTATTNATCAATTTAATTATAAATAAATAGGTTCGAGTATACGTATGTATAATACATAAAATTTTATAATATGTGAATCCTGAAAGCATGTGGACTCAAAAGTCAAATTGTGGTTTTAAAGGAATGAAGAAGCTACACCTAGAATGTGTTGCCTTTAAAAAAATGTCTCCTATTTCCCCTGGTTGATTTTTTTAAGAATGTTTTGTAGTTTTTCTAATGGGCAGTGGGTATATTCGTATAGAAGCTTGTATTGTAAGAAATTCTGACAAAGGGGCACAACAATGATTTACGATTAGCTGTAGTATAAGAACGTTTAGAACTTGGGTAGCCTGGAAGAGGAAGGGATTGTTACCGTTGAAATAACGGTCTGTGTGTACTGTGTAGCTGAGTGGCGTGTAGTCTTACTCTCCAACAGTCTGTGTGGGTTTGGACTTGAGTGAGTATCCCAACTGTAGGTCAATCAAAGAAGTAAAGAACAGTCAGGCGCAAGTAATACAACGATTCGGTGGGTTACTTAAGTCATAACAGTAGTCAGTCAGTTGTTTTTCGCTCTTTTACGCGGATCTTACTTCTTTAAAACCACTTTGTGTTTTATCGGCGCGGCGTTAAAATTTTCTTTGTTAGTTCGTTTGTAACAATGATGGTCGGGAAAAGTTCCTTCATTTTCTTCGCTTCTATTGCATTGTTTTTTGCCAGTACCGTTCAAGCACAACATGAAGATCACATGGTAAGTTGAAATAATTTTCGTTTAAAGGAATATCTCATCTTTTTTACGTATACCTTATAAAAACATGTTTGTGTGTGAATGTGTTTGTACCGATGTGATTGTGATGGCATTCTTCAATGGTGAATCTGGATGAATAATTAATAATAGCCGATGAACATGTTTTTTATACGAATAGATTTTTTTCTTCAGCGAGATTGTTAACAACTAGTTTTTATCTATTCCATCTTTGAGAAATTTGCTGTTTTTGTTCAGATATAAAATATCTACATATTTACCCATTCTTTTATTGAACACAGGTATTTTAACTGTATTAAATAATTTATTGTTAAAAGTACAGTTATAAACAAAGTATTTACCTACTTGTACAATTTGTAATTTTATTTGAACGTACTTTTAAAATGAAAAGATTTATTCTAATTTTTTTTATAATCATGTAATTGTACATAACATAATTTACACAAGTAAAATTACCGTAAAAAGTATAGAAAACTATTCAAAAAAAGTTGTTTCAGTCTCGTTTCGCTTTTTTTAATTCTGCCTTTGTGTAATTATACCTAAATAGGTCGCTCGAATTTTTTAATTGAATTATTGCCAAACCGAGCATTTTATTAGCAAGTTTTTATCGTACAGATATATTCTACCTATAATTAAAATCATGCCCTTGAAAAAAATGTGCATAACTAAAATTAGACACACTTATTAAATGTTCACGCGAAACATTACAACATTTTTACACCGATGTTTTTTAATTGCTGCAAACATATTTGTAGTATTTGCCTTTATTAATACCAATTATATAAATAATGCACCTGGTTAAATTTATCCCAATCCAAAAGGTTTTCAGTCTTTCTGCGTATTTTCAGTAAACAGGAATATAAATGTCTTGTTTATGTTCGATCTAATTGAAGATTGAGTTTATTTTTATATTTCTCTTTTTCTCTCTTCGCATCGTCGTTAGTTGAGTTCCTCCTGGTAACCTTGAGAAAACCACATCAAAGAAAATTATCTTGCGTTCATTAATTTGGGTAATTGAAATACACGAATTTTATTACATTATTACATAGATACCTATTAAAGTTTAAATTTAGATGATGAACCTATGAGATTTTATAGAAGTTTCAAACTTTTCGTATTTACAGAGTATACCAACTATTTTTTTTTTTTGGATTTTCACTACGTTTTTGCGTAACATGTTATGGTTAGAATGTAAAATAAAAACGGTTAGCATAACTGTAAAGATATTTCTACATGAAAAATCATCTAAAAATGTCTATTCTTTGTTGTATTTGATTTGCATATCACACCTTTAAATGCCACACTTATTGTATAAGTACTACACATATGTAGATTTCTAATCGTTACATATGGGTAATACCAGCAATCCAACTGATTGCTATTCCGAAAGAATATTTTGAAGGAATTTTACTGAAAATGCCGCAAAATTGGCAGTGGAGGTGATTTGACGATAGCTTATCAGACAAATAAAGTACAGATGGAAAAATCAGTAATAAACGTTAGAAACTCGCGATTTAAAAAACGTTATTAACTTTTGAGCGACAGTACAAATTGTTTTCCACTTTCTGTAACATTTATTAAATATGAAAATGCATTAAAATCTGATAGTGGAGATAGTGACGATACTTTTCAGATAAAAAAAACTATTAAAAATCTCCAGAAATTCTAGCTTCAAAAAAGCGGTAATAACTTTTGAACGACAAGACAAATTGTTTTCCACGTTCTGTTGCATTTGATGAATATTATAAGTAAGTTATACGTATATGAAAGTTTTAAGGTAAAAAAGAAGTAGGACACCCCTTGACCTGCACCTATTTTGTACATTTCCATAACTATGTAAGAGATAATCATTTAATGAATAAGTTAAGTGAAGCATTACACTTGCTTTACTCTGTTATTATTTAAATTTAGACATTTGAATTGCGACTGATTGTGAGTAGATAACTAACGGTTTAATGTTTACATATTATTAAAGTTTGTTATAAAAAAGAGCAACTTGTAGTTATTATTACGTTATATTTTATACGTATTCGTATATAACGTAACAATTTATACAATCGAAAAGTAGGATGGTTGGTGATATCGGTCGTTAAATATTTCATAGAAATGCTAGCTGTAATTTGCATTTTATAGTACTGTCCTTAACCCTTATTTAAATTCACTTTACGTAACATGATATCGTCCCTTTAACAACTGAACAGCAAAGTATATTTTTCAAGTTTTTTTAACAAATTTTGAGGCTTTTTATTCATTTGGTTTTTTCAAATTTTAGACAATTAAATAGTTAGTAGTAAAAAGAGACTTGTTTGAAAAAGTTTTTATTTTGTTGCAAATAAGCGAATTTTAGAAATTTGATTAAAATATTTTACAACCCTTTTTTTAATTACTTTCTTTTATTGAAGTCTAGTACAGTGGGGAATGCAATCTGAGAAATTATTATCGTTTTTGTATAGTTTTTACGATTCGAAGTGACTTAATGTTATTGCTATTCTAATAACTTTTGTGGCTTTATTTGAAATTTACCCTGTTGCTACTGTGGCGCCACCCTAATTTAACGCAGTTTAACGGACACTTTTTCTCTACAAAAATAGTACGTCTTACTTCTACCCTCCATAATAATAATTAATACGTACACTCCCTACCATTGGTCTAGGAAGCATCCATTTTTTATTTTAAAGTAAAGTAGAAAATACTTTGGATAACAATTTGTACGGGTGCGAAACATGGACAGTGGGAGCGGCGGAAAAGAAAAGGTTAGAAGCGTTCGAAATGTGGTGTTATAGGCGGATGATGAGGATATCGTGGGTAGAAAAGGTTAGAAATGAAGAGGTATTGGAAAGAATAGG